ACAATTCAATTCCTCAAGTACTGTGGTGTTTTAGCAATAAAAAATAACATTTGATAACAGAAGACGCTCACGCCAGAAAACACTCAAGACGAACAAGCGTTTGGCATACAGTAAAAACCCGCATATAAGAACCTAGTGATTTAAGAACCTAACAGGCTGAAGTTTGGCATTTAAATATCCATAACTATAAGAACCTGTTCAGCCTGGCAAAGAAAAATAGGTTCTTATACAAAAAAATCACTCCGATTTTGATGGTCAAAATTCTTGATTCTAATTTTGTGAGAAACTTTAGACAAAAAGTTATTGTGTATGTTTTCTTTGAATTTTGTTTGGATTTTCACTTGTTTTCCATAAAGCTACCGTGCAATACAGACGATTCAAAATTTTAATATCTTATTTAAAAAATATAGATTGAAATGTATTGATGATCTTCTAGGACCTTGACTGTTTGCCATAGTCTGTAGTACAATATTTCTGCCAATGGTTACACTATGATAACCTCTGAAAAATAAGAACGTTTAAAAAACCTAATAAGCCTAAATTGTGAAAAACTACCCTAAAATATAAGAACCTGTTCAGCTTGACCTCGAAAATTCTAGGTTCGTACATGTGGGTTTCTACTGTAGTTGCCATAAAGCAAAACCGAAGAAACTATGAGTTAAAATCCGTCATCCAAAGCGTCTGTCTGTTGTGTAAAATGATTTCGTCATTTTAGATTTTTTTATTTATTTCATATTTTTTATTATCATTTAATTTTGCTTCGAATAAAATAACAACCAACTTAGCAGATGCCGTTCGATGAGAAAGGACGTTCTAAATCTGTGAATGATTGGAGATGCAAGTGAATCACTGAAAGCGAAACGTCTTAAATTTCTTTTACAGCTCTATTTGTTAAGGAAGGAAAGATTTAAAAACCATTTTCGCTGAAAGAAAAAATGCTTTTACGAGTCATGATCGTGCATTGATTCACATAAGGAAGCTGAACTTTTAATCAAAATGTCGATTAATCCTTCTTCAACAACGGCACTAGTCATGTTTTAATTTTAGAGGGTGGGGGATGCTTCAGTTCACGAGTTTCTAAATTCATGCACTGTTTTATGTTTTATGTTAGAGCGTAGTTATGCATAGATCTACGCAAGTAGTAAATATTAAACTAACAGAGAGCAAAAATACAGTGAAACAGAGAATAAATTTTATGTTAGACTAATTAGCAACTGTTTATCGTTGACTCTGCTCTTGACTCCGATATGTTACAGGACTTACACAAAAGTTACATTTTCAGCAAGACACTATTTATCAATGCCGGATTTATAACCGACAATGCAAAAAATATGCAAAATACAGAGCAGCTTTTCAGAATAGCAAGCAATTTTCAAACCCTTAGTTAAGGAAACGTAACTTGTATACTCGTTTTAACTTGTCTCGGATGGAAATAAAACATTTATGTAACAGAACATATTATTGGTCAGTTAAAACTACTAACATGATTCAAATGACCAATAGGGTAATTCATCCTATTTTAATATGTACGCGATATCAGTTTATTAACTTGTTTGAACCAGACTCTCATGCAGAGAACACATAAAAAGAGCTGCCAAACTTGCAATAATATTATTTCCTTTGGTAGCCAAACCTGACGGGTAAGTGCTAACTCAAGGACAAGTCTTACAAGGGCAGTGCATTTGTTATCGTACCTGATATCAGACTAGGAGACGCTAGCAAAAGTGGCAATGGCCCTGATTAAAAGAGCAAAATATTCAAGACCGAGAGGCCTACAGGCCGGCTAATATCTTTCGATTCTTTCGTGGAGAATGAGCTAAGCGTCGTAGACTATTTACGCTTTCGTGGTGTTCTTATTTTCACAGGTTCAAAATTAGTGAACGCAAATCTCCTGTGAATAATCTCTGATGGCAGCCATGATTTACGTATTGATTTTATCCTTTATCACTTTGTGCTCTACGACAGCCAACAACGATAGCAGCAAATCACGTGACAAGGTGATTTCATCATTTTACAATAGTAGCTCATGGAGAAAAAGATATTTGATATATGAAATATGTCTTGTAAAGTCTATTAAAAGTTTGTTTTGGTGATTATTAATATTTCTTCTGGGGATCTGTTATATATGGTCAACCTTAAAACTTTCTGAACAAAATATCTGAGTGTCTTTGCCTTCTTTCTTTGCGTCCTCAATGAGGTATGTAAGGCTCAAAAGCAGTTCCAGTTTTGAGCAAAAGAAATGTAAAAAATGTAAATCGAATTTTGACAAAAGAAATGTAAATCGCAAATGTAAACGGCGACCACAAAACAAATACCTGATAAGTAACGCTCGAAGCTCCACGTTATCATTAACGGGTCACGCAACTCTGATCTAACAGGAAATTCTTTCAGGAAAGTGGCTCTGTAATCAAGTTAAACAAAAGTAACTAAGTAATGATATTAAGAACGTTTTCTTCATACAAATTGAATAAAAAGTTCTGCATCTTCTTCCTTTTCAACCCAGTTTCAGCCATTTTGCTTTGGAGGCCATCCCGGCACAAATGGACTACCAGGTATGCATGGCATGCCGGGATCTGCTGGTGCACCCGGCCGTGATGGACGAGATGGAGTCAAAGGAGACCAGGGCAACTCAGGGAAGACTGGGCCCCAGGGACCACCTGGTGCAAATGGAATGAAAGGGGTGAAGGGAGAACCTGGGATCCAGGGTCCTGCAGGCCAAAAGGGAGACCAGGGGGACAAAGGCGACAATGGATCTGCTCGACTGGCTTCATACATGAACTGGAAGGAGTGTGTCTGGAAAAGACGAGACGACAAGGATTCAGGAGAAATTTATGTAAGTCAAGTCATTTTAGTCCGTGAAGACATTTTTTTACGAACTCCGAACGAAGCACAATTTTTTACCCCTCAGAATATGGTGAATAATTTTTCTTTCTTTTTCACACAGCACTGTACCTTCATGAAGAAGTACACAGGCACTGCTCTCCATGTTTACTTTGCTGGTAACTTTAAAACGACATCGTGTAGCGGCTGCTGTAGTCGGTTGTATTTCACCTTCAATGGCAATGAGTGTAGCTCTCCTGGAACTATTGACGGTGCATTCTACCAGCAAACAGCAACAAATCACCGTCACAGACACATTGAAGGCCACTGTCATAACATAAAGAAGGGAACAGTGCGAGTTGGACTCTCAGTTGGAAAGTGCGTCACCGGCCACAAGCTTGCAGACTCCCTTACTGGTTGGCATTCAATGAGTCGTATCTTCATTGAGGAAGTGCCAAAACCACAGCAGTAAGCTCGTTTATTTGTTTAACTGGACTTGAATAAAACTGAGAAACGGTGTTAGTAATTAAGCGCATATAGCAACGGTTTGCTGTTAAATCTGTATCAGGTAAAACAAAATAAAATAAAGTCCAGAAACATTTACGGATACTTGATATACTTTTCTCCAATATCCTGGCCGAGCATATCATCCTCACAACGTCAAACATGATTTTCCTACTGAGACTTCATAAGAAATTTTGATTTCTTGAGGTCACACTTTGTTACAAGCTGCTTTGCCCAAGAAGAACGATTAGTCACAATTCCACTGTTTAACCTTTTGAATACTGCTTTGGTCGTTTTCGTTCCAGATGGAACGATGCATATTTTCCTTCCCGGACCCCTTTATCTCTCAGTTTAAGCCAGTTTTAGCTTAAGAAATGGTAAACAACAACGTCATCAAATATAGATCTTTCCACCGATACCCAGTTTTGGATATTTTCTGACCAATCCTAACAGAGTTACACTTACAATTAAGGGTAACGTTTTGGGAAAAAATCGACTGTCAATTTCGCTGTTTACCTACCCTCGTTAAAGATTAAAGTTGTCCCTTTTCTAAAAAGTTAGCCAGGCGCAATTTCATGCAAAAAAAGACGATAAAGTGGGAATAAACTAAATAATTTTTAATACAGAAGAAAGGCAAAAAAAAAAAAGAGAAAAAGAGAAAAAGAGAGAAAGAAGAAAAGAGAAAAGGAGGGAAAGAGAGAGAGAAGGGGGAGGGGAGAGAAGGGGAGAGAGAATTCTTCTTCAATTTTTCCAATTTTTTTTTTTGTTTTATCCTCCCCATATAAAAAAATATATTTCTTTCTTTTAAAAAAAAAGAGAGAAAGAAAAAATAAAAAAAAAAAAAAAAAAAAAAAGGAAAAAAAAAAAAAAAATTATTAAAAAAAAAAAAAAAAAAAAAAAAAAAAAAGAAGAGGGAGAGGGGGGGAGGGGAAGAGAGAGAGAGAGAGAGAGAGAGAGAGAGAGAGAGAGAGAGCGAGAGAGAGAGAGAGACAGCGAAAGACACAGTAACGAGTAAATCAACGCCACAGGAAAAAAAGTGGAAGATGTAAAAGAGGGGCGGTGACGTCCTAGCATGATTTGTTTGTTTTTCACACCACCAAAAGAACATAATTTTACAAGAACTACTCATTTGTGTTCAAGGAGAAACGAAACTACTGCATGTATCGATGAATAAAGAATAACCAAGTGGTTGTCAGAAGGGAACTCCGGTTGCATTTACCTGAAAAAAAAAGGTGCTCGTTCACAGGAAAACTGATCTTGCGTTTGTTAGGGGAGTCTGAGCGAGCACCCTTTCTCTTAAAAAAAAACAGCCACTTCAACACTCGGCAGTAAAATAAACTTTTTGTTTCAAAATCTCAAACATCAAGAACCACAAAGAGAAAGAAGCGAAAAAGAAGCTGGAACCGATAAGAAAATACATGTAACACCCATAAAAGAGCAAGCATACATTTAGGTCCCTGTAAGAATCTGAAATGCCGATTACTATGAAGCAGAGATTTAATATGGACTACCCCAAATGCCTTCAATCGACAGAAAAACATTGTTTTTGTTTGCACAAAAAGTCACTTGGGCAACTACACAGTTTTTGCCTTCTGTTCCTAATTTGCTGTCGTTGTTGTTCTTGTTTTTTCTTCATTTTCCTTTTTTGCTTAGTTTTTAAGATCTTCAATACTTTTTTTAATTTTTAGGATTAAATATTCGTGGGGTACTAGGTATTTCAAAAAAATGGTAGAATTTATAATATGGTAATTGGGGTAGAGGTAAAACTTGTGACAATTTAGAAAATTACGAGTTTCTTCGTCAATTAAGCATGTGTGAAACAGTTCCAGAAGTACTTGATCAGAACTCAATCGCCACTGAACATCATACACCATGACCAGGTTGATGCACTGGGGAGAACAATATAAAGATTACCTGCTTAATTGGCAAGGACAATCACAAATGCCACTGATTTGATTACCTTTAGATGATAAAAGAAATATGATTTCTAAATAAATTAAGATATTTCTACAATAGTGCAAATGCACTGCAAATTGTAAGTCTACTGAGCTTTGTTGGAAAATATGTACCCCAAAATTTTAAACTTTGACCCAATTTCCAAGATTCAATAAATGAGTGCAAGCATTGGATGGATACCTGCTGAAATGAATATCAGAAAACTGAATTGAATCTAGGATAGTGATTTTTTTAGGGCAGCACTATAACATGGAATCATGAATGATGAATTTCTGAGGAAATATTGTTTAAAATGAAGATGAGAAAAAGAGAAAAAAGAACAAAGAAATTTTCCTGGCCAGAGTTTTATATTACATCATGCTCAAACTGAGGCATTTTTCATTTGATTTTTAAAAGGCATTTCATTTACCATTGAAAAATTTATGAGCTTTGGGAAATGCTCTGTGCAAAACAAAATTATGCTGGAAATAGCAATGACAGTGAAAAAGTCTCTAAAATGTCTCTAAAAGTTGAGTAAATCAACAGCATAGTGGAAATATATGAACATTTTCATGGTTGTAGGCAATCATTTCTTCAAGGACATAATTTCCCAGGTTTAATTTCTCTTGTTTAACCTTCTAAAATGCTTATTGTTAAGCACAGAGGTGACAGTTCGAAGCAAACAACACAAAGAAAATTAAAATAGAGTCTAAACTTAGTATTCTTTTTATCTTTGCCTTTGAGGAACAGTCCTGTTTGATTCTGGATTCCATTTTTAATCCCCTTTTCAGGCTTCAGATTCTGGATGCCATTTGCATATTCCACATTTTAGGGCTGCCTATTTTTTATATTGAACTGAATGAACATAGCTAGACTGAATTGAATAAATACAATAAAAGCGAATTTACTAAAATGAGGACTTAATGGACTTTTAATGTCACTATTCCGCTTGTAAGATACGCATGCAAACGTCACGCAAGTAAATGACGCACGCAGGCTAAATAAACAACAACTACATGATGGTGTAATAAAGGGGGGACATAGCCCTGTGGCAGGTTATAGCGACTTCGGGTTATGCGCACAAAATAACACAAGCCTTACTTATCGCCCCACTACCGTGGGGTAGGACAAGAATCTTGGCAGAGCCTTTCTTATCTCCCCAGCGCCGCACGGGCTGGATCGGACAAGATTAAGGCAAAGGAATAGCTCAAAAGATGGCAAGACACAAGCAATGCCAAAAGCTTGGGGGAAGTCGCAACGCAGACTTAACCGCACCACAGGGAGTGACCCACCAAAATTTATTGAGACATAACAAAACAACAACTCCTCCAAAGGGAGGGAGGGCGGGTAACAAAACTACTTTAAATGATTGCTTTCGTGCAAGCTAACCAAATAATGACTAGGAGTGGCATTGGCAAAGCTTTATAGTCAGACAGTGTCTCAAAGTACGGCCAATAGGCACAGTTGTACTATAAACTATCTCAACTTATCATGATTAAGGTCTAGCCATGAATAGCTCTGAATAGGGCTTTGAAAACAGGGACCAATCTTTGCGAAGCTAAGAAAATACACGATGACAAACATGCGACAAATTAGTGAGGTTCTAGCCATGAAAAGCTTTTGTTTTCTGCTTAAAGAATAGAGTGCTTTCATTTAATGAATCAGGCTTTCAAGATATCACCGAGCCTAAGACGGGGCAGGCTTTCTCGGCCTACCCCCCTGGGGCTTCATGCTCCATTAACTGCATTTACCCGCTGGTAAATGTCTCATTAATGTCACTATTCCGCTTGTAAGATACGCATGCAAACGTCACGCAAATAAATGACGCACGCAGGCTAAATAAACAACAACTACATGATGGCGTAATGAGGGGGGGACACAGCCCTGTGGCAGGTTATAGCGACTTCGGGTTATGCGCACAAAATAACACAAGCCTTACTTATCGCCCCACTACCGTGGGGTAGGACAAGAATCTTGGCAGAGCCTTTCTTATCTCCCCAGCGCCGCACGGGCTGGATCGGACAAGATTAAGGCAAAGGAATAGCTCAAAAGATGGCAAGACACAAGCAATGCCAAAAGCTTGGGGGAAGTCGCAACGCAGACTTAACCGCACCACAGGGAGTGACCCACCAAAATTTATTGAGACATAACAAAACAACAACTCCTCCAAAGGGAGGGAGGGCGGGTAACAAAACTACTTTAAATGATTGCTTTCGTGCAAGCTAACCAAATAATGACTAGGAGTGGCATTGGCAAAGCTTTATAGTCAGACAGTGTCTCAAAGTACGGCCAATAGGCACAGTTGTACTATAAACTATCTCAACTTATCATGATTAAGGTCTAGCCATGAATAGCTCTGAATAGGGCTTTGAAAACAGGGACCAATCTTTGCGAAGCTAAGAAAATACACGATGACAAACATGCGACAAATTAGTGAGGTTCTAGCCATGAAAAGCTTTTGTTTTCTGCTTAAAGAATAGAGTGCTTTCATTTAATGAATCAGGCTTTCAAGATATCACCGAGCCTAAGACGGGGCAGGCTTTCTCGGCCTACCCCCCTGGGGCTTCATGCTCCATTAACTGCATTTACCCGCTGGTAAATGTCTCATTAATGTCACTATTCCGCTTGTAAGATACGCATGCAAACGTCACGCAAATAAATGACGCACGCAGGCTAAATAAACAACAACTACATGATGGCGTAATGAGGGGGGGACACAGCCCTGTGGCAGGTTATAGCGACTTCGGGTTATGCGCACAAAATAACACAAGCCTTACTTATCGCCCCACTACCGTGGGGTAGGACAAGAATCTTGGCAGAGCCTTTCTTATCTCCCCAGCGCCGCACGGGCTGGATCGGACAAGATTAAGGCAAAGGAATAGCTCAAAAGATGGCAAGACACAAGCAATGCCAAAAGCTTGGGGGAAGTCGCAACGCAGACTTAACCGCACCACAGGGAGTGACCCACCAAAATTTATTGAGACATAACAAAACAACAACTCCTCCAAAGGGAGGGAGGGCGGGTAACAAAAC